ACATATTTGAAATTTCAGCGGCGTGCCTATTTAAAAATGTTTTTCGACTACCGTAATAGGACGATTCACTAGGCGTCAATTTGAAAACTTTTAAACGACAATACGAAGCCTATTTAAAAATATAAGCTTGACAGTTTTGTAGATGAAAGATTATCTATTTACTGAGTGAGTCTGTCTACGAAACGCGGTACTTCGTCGTGTTGTGTTTGCTTCATCAAGTAAAATCGACTCAATGTTTAGGATCAAATTTTTTCACAGTTTTGGACAAAAAATTGTGCTTTTCAAAATGAGATATTGCAAAGCTGTCCAAGACTCCTCATTTACTACCAACAGAACGTGATGAAATAACGTCTTCTATAGACACACTCGAGTATCAAACGAGTGCTTGAAGTCTTCAGGCAGGCAATACAAAGATAAGGAAACAAAATATTTTGATTTATTTGGCAGATGCGTTATATTTCAATTAACATCAATATGATTTATAGTTTTTCACTACTATCAAGTTTAACATAGAAGGCAAGAAAATTTGAGCAATATATCTTGAGAACACAAAGAGATATCAAGATCTATATGTAAGCAACAAAGGTCATAAGAAGATTTTTGATGATCTTCTAGAGAGGTCGTTCTAGTAAATTATTGATCTCAATGAACTAATGCAATGTTCAACAATCTGCTTTACGAACAGCCGTAAGTCCCATTTTTTCCATTATATTAGTCATTATACTGAACATGATGGGAGTGTTTATATTGTTCTTTAAACCGACACACGATCAGTAGATAAAGGTTAGATAAACAGGCAAGTTCTGATTCCATCTACCAAACAATTAGACTATCAATATTTATTCACGTTCAAGCCGATGAAGCCTACAATTTTTAGTAAAGATCTTGTACGTATAGATACTTTTTCAAAATCATAACACTAGAAAAAGAATCAGTTACATTTGATGATCGATGAGTTTCAGAAAGCATTATTGAAATTTATGTAGTTTTAGTAAAAAACTCAATATTTTATATTTCTATTATTCCGAGAGGCATTTGCTGAGTCTTTACTAAAACTGAATAAGTATCAGCCGTGTGACTGCTAGGTAGATGTGATCGAAAATCGCACGTTTAGCTAGCCTTTATCTAATAATCTCATGTGGACTAAAAGAGAATAATAAACACATCCATCGTGTTCAGCATGATGCATAATATATGTTTCTATACGAAGCTAAGTTTAACTGACTGACAGAGCATTATTACCAGAAGTCTTAGTTCGAAAGATATGACGACTGAATGGAAGAACAGATAGAACTCGAACTTGCAGATTTTCGTAGAGCACCCCATTTGCTATTGAATGGCTTTGTTTTGGTCGAAAATTCATCTGAACTTTCGTAATCGGCAAGCTGGTTTTTCAGGCAAACGTTTTAGAAAATCCGAGGAAACTCTTGAGAACTTGGTTTCTCACATACAGTTGTCTGCTCAGGTATTGGCTCTATGAAAAAACCCGATCTTGATATGTCTTCATGTTGTCAAGATATGTCACTCGATTTGTCTTGCCTTTCATTTTGAAAGAGTTAGTAGAATATGTATACTGGAATTCTTTTCATCTCATACAACGAATAAAAAGTGAAAGACTTACCATAATAACCAATACAGAAGACAGCAACAACAGCATAAAGCGAGCAGTAGGCTTAATAATGATAAGCCCAAAATCAATAGCCAATTAATGCCGTTTCCTATTCAAATATAAACAGTTAGCCTGTCAACGAATTCTGAACTACGATTCGAGTATTCACTATGAAACTATGCAGCTCTCTTCACATCGAAAAGCTCAAATTGCGAACCGTTTGTATGCACTTGAATTTGAAGTTTACTTCTATTGTTTAAACAAGGAGTCTCTCAACACAGCGGAGAATCAACTTAGAGTATATCGAAGACTTTTTTAACCAGAACTATCCACACGCACACCTCAAAAAATCTCAAGTTTCTATCATTTTCTGTACCGATATGTGTGCAAAATAAAAGCATCGTAATTACTTTGGAATGCCTAGTAATATATATCTATATAATAATACTTTGAACTCCAGATCTTTAAAATTTGGATGGTTTGAAGAGAAAGAAGTCACAAATAAAGGGTTTATAGCATGAAATAAACTCAGATTCAATCATAAAATGGATAGATGTTACCTGGACTGCGTGTCGTCGTTACTGTCGTTCTAAAAGCAATAGAAAGTGAGAATTTTAATTTGATTTCGAATAAGGATTAATATTAAAATAAAAACGAACATCAATTATGCGCAATATCTATCATTCGTATGGAATACCAACATTTGAGAATTTCGAAGATTGACATCAGCAGGAGAGAGTTCATTTTGAAGATGATCCTCATCACAAAGACTTCTCTGAATAAAGATGAGTATTTGTTTCAATTCAGAACATTTATTAACTTGTGTTCAACAAGAACTATGGTTTATTTATAAGATCACACTGCATGCGTATAAATTTTGCAAGTTTCACTCAATTGGTTTAAACTAAGGAAACAGTACGTTATTTTAATGAATCATAAATCTTCTACACTAACTAAATATAATTTCAACAACTAGGGAGAATCTTTTAAATTCACATAGAATCAATCAAACTTATTGATTCTGGGTAGTTTATTGACTTTTATGAGAGAAGCTCGACAATTGTTGAGACACAGAAACTCGTCTTTTTTGATGATTTGAACAGGTTATAAATTAATAATCATGAGTTTGCAACGATTTGAATGTTTTTATTTATTGTGTATCATTGAGTCTTATGTTTTCTTGTTTTCGATTCACATTTTCAGTGATTATAAATTTTCTGATGACTAGACAAAATCAGTCAAACCTCTCAAAAACGAATAATGGCATGTAATTGTAAAAGTTAATAATAACAATTTTTAGTGCAGCTAGATATTTCATTTCGACTAATTTCAAAATCGAGCTATTTTGATCCTATAAAGACTTTACATTCAAAATGGTTCTCGAAGACGTCTACTAATGAAGAATAAAATTACCTTTGCCACAAGTCTACTCTATGCACACTCATCAGTTAGGAAAGTCTTTCCTACATATTGCTAACATCTCTCTTACCATTATTTTAACTTCCATCTACATGTAAAAGTAAAATACGTTTTCACATTTGTGTTGAGAAAAAAGAGATTTGACGAATAATACTAAGTAGTATGTAAAAAAAGCAAGGCTTCATATAGTACAGTAACACTAGGAGTCCTTGTTTATTGGAGAAAATAACAATCCGCTAGTGACTGATCTAGGAAAATCGCAGGAATGATTGTTCTTTCTTCCAATAAACAACATCAGTAACTTACGTCGTGGTGGTGGTGCTTGTTGTTGATGTTGCGGTTGTGAACGTTGTTGTTGTTGTTGTTGTAGACGTTGTTGTAGTTGTAGTTGTGGTTGTTGTTGTAGTTGT